CGAATAATCACAATACGAATAATACCACTAATAATACTAATAGTAATGTTAGTAATACAGATACGAATCATATTATGAATACTATTAACAAAGCTACTACGAATACTAATAGCCATAAGAAGAAGAATGCGAATACTAATACGAGTAATAAGAATACTAATATTCAGAATAAGGATACTACTAATAATAAGAATACTCGGAATAAGAGTAATATTCAGAATGAGACGAATACTATGACTAATAATAGTAGTAGTAGTATTGATAATAATGCTCATAATAATAGTAATAATGATAATGATAGTACTAATAATGATAATAATACTATTATTAATACTAGTAATACTAATAATAAGAATAATAGTAATAATACGAAGAAGGCGACGGACAAGAAGAACAATACAAATAATAATAATAAGAGTAATAACATTAATAATAATAACACTAATAATACTACTACTACTACTACTACTACTACTACTACTACTACTACTACTACTACTACTAATAATAATAATAGTATTAATAATAATAATAATAACACTACTACTACTAATAATAATAATCATAAGACTAATATTAATAATAATAGTACTAAGAAGAATAATATGAGGAGGGGGAGGAAGAGGAGGAGGAGGAGGAAGAGGAGGAAGAGGAGGGAAAGGAGGAGGAGGAACAGAAAATGAGGAAGTGAAGGAGGAGGATGAGGAGGAGGAGGAGGAGGATGAGGAGGAGGAGGAGGAGGAAGAGGAGGAAGAGGAGGAGGAAGAGGAGGAGGAGCAGGAGGAACGCGGCGCGAGGAGGATGAAGAGGAGCAGGGGGGCGACAGGAAAAAAACAAGGAAGGAACGGACGATGACAAGGAGTACGAAAAGTCGGGCTTTGTGCATCTGTCGTGGTGAGGGTTTTTTCGAAGACTCGTAATGCCATTTTGGCGCCATCTTGGGGCTCTCTTGGGGGTATCTTGGAGCTCTCTTGAGGCTCCCTTGGGGCTCTTTTGGGGAGTCTTGGGGCCCTCTTGGGGCTCTGTGCGGGGGTCTGGGAGGCCTCTTGGGACCGTCTTGGGCCCCTTCGCTCAAAAAGAGGGGGGCGGTCTTAAATTTTCGCCCCCCCCCTCGGAGGCCCAAAAGGGGCGTCTTGGGGCCCTCTTGGACAGCTTTTGGGGCGATCTTGGGCGCTCTTGGGGCCGTCTTGGGGCCCTCTTGGGCTTCTCTTGGGGCTATGTTGAGCCATCATGGGGCCATCTTGACGCCTCGAGAGCCAGCCGGAAGCGAAAACGTGACAAGGCAAGCAGCATTGATTTTCCTTAGGTTTTGAACCCATTCTGGCTTCTTTGGGGGGGCCTTGGAGGGCTCGGAGGGCACTTGAAACCGTCCTGGGGCCGTCTTGTGGCCTCGTGGATGCGTGTTGGAGGCTACCTTGAGCCGTTTCGAGGTATCTTGTGCGATCTTGGCGGCCTCGCCAGGTTCGGTGGCGAAAGCCAGTAGCGGCCCGCGCCGCCTTCGCGTGCCTGCGCCACGTATGCATATGCTGTGCCAGTGGAGTTCTTTCGTGCCGCAGGGGAGGCGTGACTGCCGGTTCCTCAAGGACACCGTCTTTGGCAAGTGCGTCCTGGGGAGCTCGAGTTACCGACTTTCCCATGTGCGTGGTTGCTGTCCCACACCGTACCTGCGTCACGAATTGGCACCTCAGTGGGCACGCCGTGCGTTACCCGGTGCCGCAGTTTTGTTCGACGCGAGTCTGATGCAATTGTGTGATGACTCCCGCGCCATTTTGGCTGCGGTGAGCTCCGTTCCGCCCTGTGCCGGGCGCCGCTCGCTTCGCTGTTATCCCCCTTGGTTTCGGTGCGGCCCGCCCTAGCTTGCTCGGCGTTCGATTCGGCGCCCGCGTACCCGAAAAAAAAGAGAGGCCATCTTGGGCTAGCTAGAGCCCTCTTGAAGCTATCTTGGGCCATCTTGGACGCTCTAACCCTTCGCGGGGGAGCCCGTCCAGACCAGGGAGGGGGGAGAGGTAAACCTCCCGAGCAGGGAAAGGAAGGTGGCTGGAAAAGGATACGCTCTAGACCACCTGCGCCCAGAGGGCTGGTGGGGTACTCGCCCGCTCTACTTGCCACGCGGCAGCGCCCGGCGGCGCGGAGAGGCGCACTCCATCCACCCTTACTTGTCACCTGGCAGCGCCGCGGGGACCGAACAACAACGATCCCATTCTATTGCGAAGGCCTTATGTCAGGAGGGGAAGAGACACACAGACACAATTAATCGTCGCCCCCCGGAAAATGTGGGAACATATGGGAAGTGGGGGGGAAGACGAACACCCAGAAACTATCGGAACATATGGAGAATCTTTTTTACTTGTGTGTATATATTTGTGTATATTTGTGTGTCCTGGGCCCCGTCATTATGGCCGATGCCGCCGACCCTGTAGGCATCGACGACGAAGACAATGGAGGTAGAGGGTCCAAGCTGCCCTCAGATGGCTCGAAGACGGCGCCAGATGCCTGCAAGGTCGCAAGGTCGTTCGAAGACAGTCCATTTGTTACGCGGCAGCGCCGCAGGGGCCGAACATCATGCCATGCCGCTCCGCTCGCCACGTGGCGGCCCCTGGAGGCGCGAAGAAATCGCATCCCATTTTAGACGTCACGCGGCAGCGCCGTGGCTGAAGCAAGCGTTATGCCACGACGACGACGAGGACGACGACGAGAACGATGACGACGATGATGATGATGATGATGATGATGATGATGATGATGATGATGGTGATGATGATGATGATGATGATGATGATGATGATGATGATGATGCTGATGATGATGACGAGGGCCATGGAGGCGAACAAACATTCTATCCTACCCTCCTCCTCGTCCTTTTTCCTCCCCCTTTCCTCCGCCCTCATCCCTTCCCCTTCCTTCCTCCCCCTTCCTTCCTCCTCCCCCTCCCCTCCTCCCCCCCTCCTCCCTCCTCACTCCTCCTTCCTCACCTCCCCTTTGCGCTCCTTCCTTTTCTTCCCTTCTGTCCTCCCCCAGGCCTGCAAGTTACTTACTGCAGCGCAATGTGCTGCAAGTGCGGTGCAACTGCAGCGCAGTGCAATGCGGTGCGACGCAAGAGGACGTTGGTTGGCAGGCTGGCTGGCTGGTGGCCGGTCGGTCGGCAGGCTGGTTGATGTCAGCTGGTGGGGTGGCCGCCACGCAGCAGAGCCTGGACGACCGACTGGGTGATACTTGACTCTGCTCGTCGTGTCGTCGTTTTCTTATTCATTGTTTTGCCGGTCGGCGCGGGCCCTCGCACCCCCCCTCCATAGAGGAACAAATAATGACAGAAACATGCAGAACTCGGATGTCCGCGCGGATTTCTCGGATCTGCGCTGGACCCCCCTGGCGGCGCCACCGGCGCCGCCCCTGGCGCGCGGAGCGCGCCAGGGAGGGGGGTCCAGCGCCGATCCGAGAAATCCGCGCGGACCTCCGAGTTTTTAGGTTTATGTTATTCTTCGCTCCCCTACTCCCCCCCCCCCCGTGGAGTAGATCTCGGCTGTCTTTGGGCGCCTGCTTCGAGCAGGTGGAGTCTCCCCCATGATGGACGCTCCGCTGCAGACAGTCGCACTGAGCAGAGGCCCGGAGCCAGACCCGCCCCTCCCTTCCGCCCAGTGTCGAGGCGTCGAATCAGAAAACGCTCCCGTTCCACCACTCGGCTTATGTCGGGCGTGTCCCCCTACAGGGGGATTTTCGGAAAAAAATAAATAAAACATACCACAAAAATGCACCAAAATGGCAAACAGATATTTTAAGAATAGTCCCCAGACTATTTGTGGATTTTTTTTGATTATTTCTGGGGTATTTTGCACTTTTCGCCGAAAGTCCCCCTGTAGGGGGACAGGCCCGACTTCAGGCTCCCGTTCCACCACTCGGCACGTGGCGACGCCGCGAGGGCTCGCGGCAGCGCCCGGCGGGGGCCGACGCACGCGCTGTGCGTCACGCGGCGCTGCGCCGCGGGGGTCCAACGAGGAATGCCGAGCCGCCGCACGCGCAGGGTGGCAGCGCCTGGGCTCGCGAAGCGGTCCGTGCACCCTGGGCGATGCTTTGGAAAACTTAGGTTTTCGGCCAGAGTCTCGACTATTCTCAATGTTTCAATGTGAATCCCAAGATTTCAAAGAAATGCTGGGTTTTTACTCGAATTCTGAAACTATGAATTTCTGCCCCCATGATTTCTTCAGCATTTCGCAGGGTGTATTCCGTTCCCCCTACCTGTCACGTGTTACCGCGCCGCGGGGGCCGGAACAACAACTTTGTTCCAGTCTTTTCACCACGTGGCAGCGTTGCGTGGGCCGACAAAAATACCATGCCATTCAGCTCGCCACGTGGCCGCGCCTAGAGGCGCAAAGAGAAACCTTTCCGTTCTAGGTGTCACGCGGCAGCAACGTGGGGGCCGAACAACAAATTATGCCACGACGACGGCGAGGACGACGAGAGCGACGACGACGATGACTACGACGATGACGAGGGCCAGGGAGGCGAACAACAATTCTGTCCAATCCTCCTCGTCCTTCGTCCTCGCCCCTGCCGTCTCCCTCCTCCATCCTCCCTCCTTGCTCCCCTCCTCCCCCCTCCTCCCTCCTCACTCCTCCTCCTTCCTCGCCTCCTGTGTACCTTCCTCCCTTCTCCTCCCTCCTGCTCTTCCTCCCCTCGCCCGCAATTTACCTCAACGCAATGTGCCGCAAATGCAATGCCAATGCAGCGCAGTGCAATGCAATGCAACGCAACAGGAGGCAATACAATGCAATTCAATGCAAAACAATGCAATGCAATGCAATGCAATGCAACGCAACGCAACGCATTGCAATGCAATGCAGCGCGTCACGTGGCAGCGCCGTGGGGGCCGAGCAAGCACATGACTATGCCACGACGACGAGAACGAGGGCCAGGGAGGCAAACCCAAATCCTATCCTGTCCTCCCCCTCGTCCTTCGCCCTCCCTCCTCCTCCACTCTCCCTCCTCCCCCCTCCCCTCCGCAGCCGTTTTGGCTCAAGCTTTTTTGGGGCCCGAGCCGCTTCGGTGGGCTCCAGCTACCGTACCCTTACGACCGGGCTGCGGTCGACGGCCCCCGGCTCACGATGGCCGCTCGCGCCCTCTGGGCCGTGGCGCAGCAGGCGTCGCTCGCGGGTGCGATCGCCGTGGCCCTCGACCGGACGGCGGGGGCCGGGCACGGCGGAGGGGTGCAGGGCCGCGCGGCCGCCCGCCTCGGCGTGATGAGCAAGTCCGGGGTCACGCGGTATTCGAGGAGGAGGAGGAGGAGGAGGAGGAGGAAGAGGAGGAGGATGAGATCGACTGCATAATCGGTTTACAGTCAACCCGTATGGTTAGGACGGGCAACCTTCCCAAGGGTGCCCTGGCATCCTCGCCTCCTCGGTCCATCCTTTGCCACTTTCGGTTGCCGCGCCCCGCCGGAAGAGCTTCGGAATGGGCGTCCGAGGCCCTTGCATCTTTATCGCGCATCGTCATGATACGGGCCGACTGTATCTCAAAATTTGTGTGCTCGTCGAATCCACGAAAATACGTAGAACATTCGATGCATTTTCCGTAGATCCGACGAGCAGATCAAAATGTGGGGTAAATGAATTCTGTAGTCGATCCCCTGCTCGAGGTATAGCGCCCGGCAGATTGGGAAGGCACGCAGCGCCGAGGGGGCCTACTGGCCGGACTCCAGCAGCCGCGGCAACTCGCTCTACGCTGGCGCTCGGGGGAGGAGACGGTGCCCATACCTCGACCCCTGGCTCGTCTTCCCCTTCTGGGGCCTCCTCCTCCTCCTCCTCCTCCTTGGAGGCCCTCGTCGCCACCGCTGGGTTCGCCTCGAAGTCCTGGTCAGAGCGCGCCCTGGGAGAGATCCTGGGGAGGAGCGGTGCACCGGCACGCCCTGGCCTGCCCAGGCGCGGAGGACCTCACGGACAACGTCTCGTGGGGGTGGCACCACCCGAGCGGGGTCTACAGCACCATCCCGGTCGGGGCGCCCCTCATCGACGGCGAGCTGAACATCTACGTCGGGTCGGACGACGCCATCCGGAAGTTCGACGTGTCCGGGGAGCTGCTCTGGAGCTACGCCCCCCGCGGCCAGCTCGCCGCCGCCCCGTCCATCGCCATCGGCTCGGTGTCGCGGCGCCTGGCGGTGGCCCCCACCGAGGTCTCCGCCGAGGAGGAGGCGGCCCTCCAGCCAGACTGGGCGAAACGGGGGGACGATCCCGAGGTCCCGTACGAGACCTTCTTCGCCCAGGTCAAGGTCGGCGACCGCCTTAAGGTGCGCCCGGGCAAGGCGTTTGTCGGGGACGGCGGCAAGGACCTCTACAGGGACGGCGACCAGGGCAGGATCATCAACGTCCTCAGGCAGGGAGGCTACGGCGAGCGCGTGGTCATCCGGTGGCCACGCACTGGCCACGAGAGCGTCGCGAGCCTCGCCTCCCTTGGCAAGAGGTTCGTGCGCGTCGCCAGCGAGGTCAGTGCGGCCGCCCTGCCGCCCATGCTCGTCGGGAGCACCACCTCTGGCTACGTGTTCGCGGTCGGGCTCAGCGACGGGGAGGAGATCTGGGCGACCCAGGCCTCCGAGCAGATCGCGGGCGTCAAGGGGGCCGTTGGTGCCAAGGACGGGGTGGTCGTGGTCGCGACCAACCGCTGCACCGACCGGTACTGCTACCGGTACCGCAACCAGACGAACCCACTCACGCCGAGCAACTCCATCGTGAGGGGCCTCAGCGCAGCGGACGGCAGCGCCCTCTGGTCCTACAGGACGCGGTCGCCCGTGTGGAACATGGTGCCGCAGTGGGGTCCTAACGACACCGTCATGTTCCAGGACTTCGAGGCCAACGCGTACTGCCTCAACTTCAAGACCGGCGCGCCATGGGCACTTACACGAACGCCGCCGCCGTGTACGACGCGGCGTCCGAGCGGTTTTTCTCGATGGGCGCCAAGGAGTACGAGCACAAGTATTGCAACCCGTACCCCGCGCCAGGTGTCCTGCCCCACTGCAACACGTGGCCCGGCTCCGCAGGTATGATCTACGGCCTCAACGCGACCTCGGGCAGGAAGCTGTGGGAGTTGGAGACCCGCGAGCCGCCTGCGAGCGGCGCCGTCGGCCTCCTGAACAGCCCCCCGGGGCACACCAGGCTGGTGGTCACCCTGGGCTACAACTGCAGGTACAACTCCCCCTCCGGGCTCCTGTCCATCGACCCGCACAATGGCCACCTCCGGTGGGAGAGGGAGGGCCCGACGCTGTGGTCCGGCATGTGCGCGGGGGACAGGGAGGGCGGCGACATCCGGAGGGCGATGGGCGGCCGCGCCGCGTGCGTGCCGAACTCCTGGTCCAGCCCAGTCATCGACTCCAACGGTGACTTCTACGTTGGCAACCAGGTGGGGGTGCTGCAGAAGTGGGGGTCTCCCACGGGGCGGACCCTCGACGTCCAGCTGCTCTCCACCCTGACCACGGGGGTGGCGTTCCAGGACGCGGCCATCGCGGTCGGGCCCAGCATCATGGCGGTGTCGACGTGCACTTCCCTCATCGTCATGCAGACTTCGGAGGGGGACAACTTCACCTTTCCCCTCGAGTATTGAGCCTGTCATCTCCAACCATACGCTTTTGCTCCCTTCCACTTCATGTTGAGTTTGTCTTCATGAGGGCAGTCGCCACCGCGTACTTTTTGAGCCACGCTCGCATACCGCGAGTGGCACGTCGTTAGGACGTCCCTGCTGATAGGACTCCATATTAAAAATATCAATGCCACCGTCCGCCGCCGCCCTCCACCCTCCCTCCTCCCTCCCCCTTCCTCCCTCCTCCCCCTCCCCTTTCCCCCCCCTCCCTCCTCACTGCAATGCAATGTGCTACTCCTCCTCCCTCCTCTCCCCTCTCCCTTGTATTTCTCCCGTCTCCCGCAATCTACTGCAATCCAATAATCTAGTGCAAATGCAACGCAAATGCAACACAGTGCAAAGCAATGCAATGCAAAGCAACGAAACAGGATGCCAATTCAATGCAAAGCAATGCAAGGCAAGGCACTGCAATGCAATGCAACGCAATGCAACGCAATACGGTGCGCTCGCCCGCACGACTGCATGCCCGCCGCTCGCCCGCTCGCTCGCTCGCCCTTCCGCGCGCGCCTCCCGTCCATTCCATTCTATTCCATTCCATTCCAGTTCATTCCAGTCCAACGCAACCATTTCCATTCCATTTCATTCCATTCTATTTGATTCCATGCCAATCCATTCCATTCCATTTCATTCCATTCCACGTCATTCCACGCCATTCTAAGGTGTCCGACGTAACAACCGGGCTACAAGACGAGCACAGATCGGTAAACGCTTCGGCGAATACCTGGGGCGCAAGCGATTCACTGCGATCAAATCGAGACGGAGGCGCACATTCATCACAGGAATGTATGGCGAAGATGGCAAACTGTATGCAGGCCGAGAGTCCATTGCCAACGTCATTGCGGTCGTCTACGAGCAGCCTTACCACTCCATTCGACCAGCCGCGACACCGGACATCGAATTCAGGGCGGAAATGTTGAAACATGCTCCGTCAGAGCTGAAGCAAGCTATCCTAATGCTCCAAAGCGCCATTCTCCGACCATATGCACCACTCCCACAAAGTTGGCGACATACGGTCATCACAGTCATTCCAAAAGCAGGCGAGCCTTAGAGAACCTCAGAACCAGTATACAAGCTCTTTAGCACATTTCTGTACTCCGGACTGCAGCCGCAGTGAGACAAGCAACAGCCTCCAGATCAAGCAGGCTTCCGCTCTGGGCGATCCACGCAATTCCATTTTTTCACATCCCGCTTTCTCCAGGACAGAGCACGTGAGTGGAACCAGCCCCACCTTCTCAAGCGGCCCTACCCTGAGCAAACAGCGACATTACAGACAGACTCGACCAGCTGCCCTTTCCATCTACAAACAGGGTGACCCCCTGCAGCTCGCTGCTCGTCACATCGCTCCTTGGATGTTCACTAGAATGTTGCCTCGCAAACCTTCGCTTCGCTAACGACGCTCTCCTTAGAGAAGTCGAACGCTCCCTCGCCTCGCCACTATGCTTAAGTCGGGCCTGTCCCTCCCTCTACAGGAGGAAAATTCAGAAATAGTCGAAAATAGTCTGGGGACGACTCTTCCTATGTTTGAACATTTGTTTGGTAATCTTTATTTGTTTGTTTTTCGTCCACAATCCGCCTGTAGGGGGACATGCCCGACCTAACACTATGCAAAAGCACGCGGACTTCATATACATCCCAACATAACGAAGATTTTGCCCAGGTTGTCAGAACGCACGGGAATCTCACGCCAACGCAAGACGACAATTCACGGTCTCGACATCGAGATTTTACCACACTCTGGCTCAGTGAAATATTTGGGTCAGCGCATCAGCTTCGACGACACAGTATCCACAGGTTGCGAACCGCCGGAAAGCAGGATGGGAAACTTCCACAACTTAGAGACAAGAGCTCATATAATAATATCATCCGCTGAAACAGCGATTCCAGTTTTTTGACGGCACGGTCATGTCGGGGCGCCAGAGACGGGGGCACAGCAAACGCGGGCACGGGGAACGCCGATTTCCACGTTTGCTATGCCACCGTTTAGGATGGCCTGGGCAAAGTAAACGGGGGCAGCCTAAGCCCCTGTTTAGCTAAACCCCCGTTTACGACGCCCCGACCACGCCGACAGTTCTCCATGGCGCAGGTATTTGGACGTTGCTCGAGCCTCTGCGACAACGGCTACAACGCACACGACGGCGCGTGTTGCGCATGGCTGTCGGCACGCCTCGACGACGAAGCGCCGACGCCAAGACCAACGCCCGGAGTGACCAGCCCGCAAGAGCCACCCTCGACACCATCTCCGGCATTTGGCGCAGACAGCACCGACGGAGAAGATGTCGACAGCAACCCACCGACAGCCCATTTGAGCAACGAAACCAGCAAAGCAGAGCACGACAACATCGACAACAACAGAGACAACCAGCCAGGGAGCGACGGCTTGGAGCCAGGGGTTGAATACATCAAGCGAGCGACTCGACAAGCAGAGGTCCTCATCTATCAGTATAAGCTGCACGATTTGGTGACAATGCAACGAGATATTGTATGGAGATGCGCAGCCCACGTCGAAGCAACTACCGCGTGAATGGCCACAGCGTGTTCTTCATTGACGCCCGAGCCTTCACGCATCCCAGACCGGACAGCGCCATCATGGAGGATAGTGGAGGAGATGGGACGATGATATTTGCGGGTTTCTCCGCCGTTTTCACGCCGCAGCTAAACGACGCCAGGCATCGCGAAGGCACTACGACCTTAACGACACCACGTGTCTACAACTGGCTACAACAAAGGAGTGGGAACAGTTGGAAAACAATTTCGTGAAGTGCGCATCTCCCTGAGTAGGCGCTCGGCGCGCATAGTTTCTCATGCGAGGCCATGGCTTCACCAGCCTCGCCCTACAGGGCCTGGGCGCATGCTCGTACGGGTGTTTTGTTTTGTTTTGTTTTGTTTCTTTCCATTCCATCCCATCCTCCCTTTTGATTGTGGGTCCAGCGGTGTGGGACATCCTCAAACAACGCAGTGGGAAGGGCTGGTTGGCTCACCAGTTGCCGGGTGAGCCGGCGACCAGAGATCAATTCGGGCACAATTGCTCACACGGTTCGCGCTCAGGGGACCAGAATTGCTTGTTTGACCGGAAGTCCGCTATTTTTTGCCCGAGGCCCGCTTCGTCCGCGGCTTGTCTCCAAGCCGCTGCGGCTAAAACAGTTGATCGTTCGCCCCCTCCTCTTCAGGAGGGGCGGCTGGTGGTGGCGCTTCTGAGTCATGCGGATCTCGGGAACCCGTCTTTAAGGGCGTGTCACCATCAACATCATCATCATCATCATCATCATCATCATCATCATCATCATCATCATCATCATCATCATCATCATCATCATCATCATCATCATCATCATCATCATCATCATCATCATCATCATCATCATCATCATCATCATCATCATCATCATCATCATCATCATCATCATCATCATCATCATCATCATCATCATCATCATCATCATCATCATCATCATCATCATCATCATCATCATCATCATCATCATCATCATCATCATCATCATCATCATCATCATCATCATCATCGGAAGGGGCTGGAGCAGCGCCCACCCCGAGAGGAGCTCCCTGGCTACGACTGCGTCATATGCAGCCTCTGCGACGGGCGGGTGCGGTCGGACACCGTCTGGAGGCGCCCGCCACCTGACCCCGCCCCGCGCGGCTCGCCCTGCTCGCCCCCGTCTCCTCCTCCGCCTCCTCTTCCTCCTCCTCCTCCTCCTCCTCCTTCTCACCCTCCTACCCTTCCTCCTCCTCCTCCTCCTCCTCCTCCTGTTCTCCTCCTCTTCCTCCTCCTCCTTCTCGTCCTCCTCTGCCCCCCCCCTATCGTCTTCTTCTCCTCCTCCTCCTCCTGTTCCTCCTCATCCTCCGCCTCCTCCTCTTCTGCCTCTGCCTCCTGGGTGGATCGATCGGTCCTCCTGTCTGCTGCTCCTGGATCCGTTTGCTGCTGCCGTAGAGTGTGGCGCCGTCGCCTACTCTGCTCGTAGTTGCTTTCTGGGTCTCTGCATCACGACCCCTTCGGAGGGCTCCCGTGTTGCACTCTGCTCGGGTGGCGGCTGCAGGTTGTATAGCTCTTCCTCGCCGCCCAGTCTGCTGTCCTTGTATAGTGGACAGCCCGAGCCGTGCTGCTGCGCAGTGATGTGCCTTCACCGCTGCGCTCCTGTCTCTTTTTCTCGCTGGCACTCGCCACGCCAGCGGAGTCATGTGGCTGATCATGGGTCGACCCCTAAAAAAAAAAAAAAAACATCCTACTCCTTCTCTGCCTCTACCTCCCACATCCCTCCGTCTTCACCTCCCTCTCCTGCTCGTCCTCGTGCTTCCCCTCCTCTGCCTCTACCTTCTACCTACTCCTCCGCCTTCTCCTCCTCCTGCTCCTCCTCCTGCTCCCCCTCCTCGGCCCCCTCCTCCTGTATCTGCTCCACCTCCTCTGCCCCCTGCTCCCCCATTTTCCTGCTCCGCCTTTTCCTGAAAGTCTGCTCTGCTCGCACTCGGCTCGCAGCGCGCGTGGCCGCAGCGTGGCAGTACTGGTTTTGCTGTTTCCTCCTCCCGCTCCTCCTCCTCCTCCTCCTCCTCCTCCTCCTCCTCCTCCTTGAATGGCACATGGCGTCTGCGCACATTTTTGTCACTGATCAGGCTGTGGTCGTCAACCTGCTCAAGACGCCGCCGCTCGAGCTGAAGCAGATGCTCATTGATGACGTGGGCAGGTGGCAGATGGCGCGGATCTTGAAACATATATACCAGAGGCTTTTGGACACGAGCAGATCTGGCGCAGGGCCCTGCGGATCAGCATCCTGAGTATTCGTGATCCAGTCCGTCGTGGTTGCGCTCGACTGCTGCTGGGTGCAGGCTGCTGGGCGCCTGCGAGGAAGCACCTCGCCAACTTGCGCGCCGTGCCAAAATGTGATGTCTGCCCGGCTGTGAATGGCACTCTTGGTCACCAGCCGATTTTTCCCAGATGACGTCATGGAGCACAGGGCTGCTTTAAGGGATGAGGGGTATCATAATCTCTCGGCCGACTGGGACACTTTGGAGCTTGCCTATGGGTGGGGGCAACGCGTCTATACCGACGGTTCGGGACTGGCCAGCGCCAGTCCCGAATTTAGACGGTGTGTTTGGTCTGTCGTGGAGGTCGGGCCTAGTGGGGTTCCCGTCAGGGCCTTATTCGGGTCCCTCCTTGGGCGCCAGGCCATGCCTCGAGCTGATCGCTTCGCTGGTATGTGGGCGATCAAGGTTGCACCCCCAGGCGTCGATGTTTGCAGTGACCATTTCTCGTTTGGCAAAGAGGGAGCCTCTTGGGATGCGTCTTTAGCGGGTGCCCGTTCCTTGCACGCGGACATTTGGCGGGAGACTATCGCGCGCAAGGAGGGCCACCCCAGGCCCCTGCTGACGTGGGTGCCCGCCCACCGCGAGCTCGAAGATGTGCTCCACCTCTCCCAGCGGGAAATCGAAGATTGGTGTGGCAATCTCTGGGCTGATTTGTCCTGCTCGCGTCGGCTCGTCTATGCATAAGGCGCCAGACGTCGCTGTTGCCTCGGAGCGTGCTAGTATCTTTAAGATGAAGAAGACTTTGGATTTTCTCTCCAGGGCTGTCCAAGTTTTCGGGATTGCTGGCCAAACCATCGAAGCCCCTCCATCTCCGCCCAGGCCTGTGCTGGCTAAATCAGCTGTCACTTTTGTCGAGCATGATTTGGCCAATATTCCTTCCAGGAAGGGATGGAGATGTCGCAGTTGTAATATGTCTGCCCGTTCAGAGCTCACTCTTGAAGGTCTCCGCGCTGGTTCTAGCAGGAGATACAAGCATGATGCCATTCGGGCCTGGAGGGCCAGTGAGATCTTCCAGCAGGTTGAATCTAGCTCAGGCGACTCCTCGGTTCAGGTTGCCCTAGCTGCTGCCTCCAAGGTCCTAGGGCCCGCCCCCTTTCTCCTCGCCTGCCCGCGGTGCCTGGGGACACTGAGGGGGGCGTGTTGCCTGACCGAGGTCCTGGGCCCGCGGTTTTCCAGGCCGGGTCTGTCGACCCTGGGGTTGACCTCTCCTCCTCCTCCTCGAAGGCTCAGTGGGCGGCGCTGACGAGCTTCGCTGTCCCAGCGTGCCGACCGGAGCAGACGCTTGGCCTGCGGGCTGGATTGCCGGCTGCGGTGCCAGTGGGCCCCCCGTGCGCCGCGGGCCCCCGGGCCGCTGTCGGCGCGCGGTTGGGGGGGCGAGTCGGTGCAGGTGGGGCAGCGTGGGCGGGTCCGCAGCCGACTGGAGCGGCGGCGTGTTGGCCTGGGCGGGGGCGGATCACCCCGCCCTCCATGCCAGGGGCAACCGCGCGACCGCTCCATGGAGGAGTGCAAGCCCGGCGGCGCGGGCGTGGTGCCGAGGCGTGCGGAAGGCTGGCGGTGGCAGGGTGCTGGGTCCTGCCGAGTGCCCCCCTCTTGGTGAGGGGCGGCCAGCCCAGCGGCCAATTGGGCGGGGGGGGCAGGATTCAGCCCTGCAAAGTTACAACCCCCTCCCCTCGCCGCCGCCAGCCTCAGCGACGGCGAGGGCGGCCGCTGCGACCTCGGGCTCGGCAGGGTCGGCGACGGCGCGCGGCGGGGGGCGTCCAGGGAGGCTCTACTCGTCAGTTGCCACGCGTGGATCAGCGAGTCCTCCGTCGCCGCTTGAGCCGTCGGCGCCGTTGCGACCCAGGGCGTCGATTTCGCGCCAGACCTCGACCGAAGGCCAGGTCGCCCTCGCCAGGGCCCGACTGCCTGTGCATCTTCGGGGTCGCCGCAAACAGCTGGGAGTCCGTCAAGTCTGTGATCGATTGGTGCTCGGATCAACCCGGTGCAATTTTTGGCCGGGGCGCCCGTGGGATCGCACTGCGGCCGCAGTAGGTCTGCGTGCAGGAGACGCGCGTGAAGACGAGTGCCAAGGTAGGCCAGGCCTGCAGCTGGGGCCAGCGCGGGCATTGGGTTCTTAGCTCGGGAGCTGCCGAATCGACGGGGTGTGGGCCTAATATTAGTTCAGCAGGAGTAATCTTGGGGGTCTCGCAGTCGATTGCGTCGTCGGCGTGTGCGCCAGGGGACCTTTGTGACCTCCGGGCTAAAATATCGGTCCGTTTGCTCAACTTCGGGCACCCGTCAGGCCTCGTAGTTATCTCGGCGTGCTTCCACGCCAGTCTGGGGCTGCAGGGGGCCAATCTGGATATGCTTCGGTGTCTTGGGCAATTCGTTGACAGCATCCAGAGTCCGCGGGTCATCCAGGCAGAAGCGTTTCCACGATGCCCCGATCTCCCCGCGCTCGCCGGCGTGCTTGTTCTTCGAGGGCCTCTCCAAGACGAAACTGGTCACTGAGCACATCCACTTCGAGCGGTTTCCCTCGGGGCCTGTCGCGGGGCCCAGGGAGGAGCTGAAGGAGGGGGGGGTGGTCTTGGGAGCTCGGGGGCCCCAGTGGCGCCTCACTGGGCTACGAGATCACAGAGTGGTTCACGAGGGCCGAAAACTGGTTGGTGGGCTTTTTCGACATCGACGGGGACTCTGGGGGCATCAACTGCGGGGGGGCCCAGGGGCCGAAGACGGTCAAGGTCCCCTTGTAGACTGTCTGGGCTCGGGGGGCGGACCGCGGCGTGGATGTCGCTCCAAACGTTGGCCACCCGAGTAGCTAGCGCAGGCGAAGTTTCAGGATCCAGTGACCTAGGTTCGGCAGGCAGAACTCGACGGCAACAGTGGCTCGTCAGGCTAGAGGGTATGGTCCCGAGCTTGCTCTGCCAGCGCGGCCAGCTGGACCAGCAGTTCGTTCGAAATCTCATCGGCTCCATCGTAGGTTACGGCGAGAGGTGCACAGAGCTGAGCATTCCCATGCAGCTTGATAATTAGGTACGCCGAGGAGTTGAGGGGGCGGATATGCAGGAGGGGCTCAGCAGGTGTCAGAAGTGGGCGAAGGAGGCAGTTGAGCGCGGGGGGAAGGCTGCGCGCGCGTGCACTCGCCAGACTTTCACCGGTCGCAGCTGCCAGTGTTCGATCCCTGCCGCAGATGCTGCACTACGTGTCAACGGGGATGAGGCCGCGCAGGCCTTGCTGGATCAATGGGTGCCCCTGTGGTTCCAGAATAGAAACATGGAGCCTTGCTGGGGCGCTCTCCTACGGGGCGCCAGAGGGGGCGCGCTTCCGAGGATTGAGCTCCACGGCCTCCTTCATGTGTGCCGTGAGTATGCCGAGGGGGTTGGGTTGGGGTGGGGCTCGTTCCACCCGAGGCTCGTCTTGAAGTTGCCGGAGGCCCGCCAGATGCGTATCTAGGATATCTTGCATGGGTTCGAGGAGCCCCCGCCCCAGTCCCGTTGGACCTTTTGCCCAACGTTGTCGTCCTGGATGAGCCTGATGGGGGGTCGGGCCGATTGGCCACTCGAGTTCCTTCATGCAGATTTGGTCGAAGTGCCGCCAGCACCTCTGCAAGCGGTGGGATGTAGAGCGCTCTCTCTCTCTCTCTCTTTCTCTCTCTCTCTCTCTTTCTTTTTTTTCTCTGGGGGTGCAGGCCCCGACGCGTCATGCGAGAGAGCGGGCTGGGTGCGCAATGTGGATGGGGATTTGTATCGAGCAGCGGTGGAGCATCGTTTAATTTTGCTCCTGTTGCGAGGGCTGTGCGGGATGTATGCCGCGGAGAGAGCGCTGCCATGCGGGGTGTGTGTCTCGGGGAATGTCATGGCTAACGGAGGAGTTATAGCAGGATGTTCAGCGGCAACAACTCTGTCGAGGCTCCTGCACTTGAGCCCCCTGTCTTTGGCCCAGTCTGGGCGCCCGCAGCTGGTCATCCGCAGCGTGATTGACGACGTCGCGTTGCAGGTCGCCCCCCCCGCCGACGCGGTCGTGGACCAGCTGGTTGGGGGCGCGATGTCGCTGTTGGCCAGTTTCAGGCAACTCGGGCTGCCAGTTTCAGCCAAGTCGAAGTAACTGTGCAGCAGCGCCGAGCAAGATGCGAAGCTGCAGCAGGCTTGGGGCATTCCCCCAAGTGCGCGTCACCTCATCGAGGAACCCGGGGACCGATGCTTCGCTCGGAGCCAGTCGGGGGCGAATGGCTGGGCGAAAATGCACCAGGGGTCCTTTAGGTCGCTCATTTCAGGGGCCCACTGGCCCCAATGTAGGCTCTTCAAGCGCGGCCTGGTGGAGTCTGGGGCTTGCCTTCGGCGCGGGGGCCCTGAGGGGTTGTTGTGGCACAGAGCTTATGAGTGCCCGGCTTTGAGTGCGCAGCGTAGGGGGGGCGTCTTGGTCTTCTTGCAGCGGAGGGCCCGCAGGGTCAAAGCGCTGGGCTTCGACGGGGGGGGGCGTCTCGCGCGGGGCCTCTTCCCGGGCCCCGCGGTCTTGCTGGGGGTCCCCGAGGAGCCCGTGGTCGCCGCCCCGTGGCACAACAGGCCTGCGCTGGGCCTCCTGAGCGGGTTCCTTTTTGCAGACGGCTCGGCCCTGTGGGCTGACTGCCCGCGCCTGGCCCGAGCCGGCTGGTCTGTCGCACAGTTTGACAATTTCGGCCGCGCGCAGGCGGCGGGCTACGGGCCTGTCCCAAGGTCGACGGCCCCCAGTCGACGGGCTGAGGCTGCTGAGGATTTTGTTCTGAATATGCTGACGCAAGTGGCCCTCCCCCCTTCCGCTCTGCACGTCGATTGTGAGGGGCCGTCGGCACGGTCCGACGGGTGGTGGTGGTGGTGCTGAGCCGTCTAACGCTCCTGCGCATCTGTGGAGTCAGTTTTGCGCCGCTTTTCAGTGTTCGGATTCCGGAGTGCACAAGACCCGCGCACGCTGCCCGCGCAGATGGAGGCTGGGCAGACCGCCGAATGGGAATGTCGAGCCAACAGCGCAGCGGACGAATTCGCTAAGCGTGGGGCAGCGGCCCACGGCATTGATGCAAGCTTTTACGAGCCGTGGCGCGGATTGTCAGAGTGCGTACGAGAGGCTGCCGCGTGAGCGGCCGTGGCGCGCATTGAGGCAGGCGACCGCGACCGCGACGGCCTCGTGGGTCAGTGTGCGCCGGCACGAGAGGTCGGGCGGCAAGAGAATGCCACGCCTGCGCCTGATGCTGCTCCTGATGAGGAGCCGCCCGAGGACGGTGTGGGTCTGGGGGCGGAGTCGGGGTCGGGGTCGGGGTGTGGGGAGTTCTCTTGTGCGAGCTTCCGCTGGCGGTCCCGCCTTCTTTGGCAGTGCGCCGTCCAGTGGGCGAATCCAAAGGTGCGTTTCCCCCTGTTCTGCTGCCGCTGCGGGGCGGTCTGCTCCGAAGGGAGGACAACGCCTGCCATTTTGGCGTGCTGCCCTGGTCGCGTGGGGCGGGGTGCCTAAGACCAGCTTCGGAGGATTTCGAAGGGTGAGTTCCTCCACTACAGAGTGGGGGTCAAGCGCCTCAAGTCGGATCGCCCACGCGGACTGATGCCAGATGTTCGTGCCAGCCTAGCTAGCCAGGCGATGGAGGCCGACCTCTCCGCCAAGGCTCCCGCCCGCGCCCGTTCGGCGCGGGGTGGGCGGGGGCGGGGGGCCGAGACGACGTCCTCCGAGCATTCGGATTGGAGGCTGCAGATTGTGTGGCCGTTGGTGAGATGGGTCGCCGCGGGATGTAGCGCGCGGCCGAAGCCCCCGAGGAGGATCCCAGCTCGGACGAGGGGTCCCTATCTGGGGGCTAGTTTTGTCTCACCGCCTTCAGGGCCAACCCATGCCATACCTCCTCCTCCTCCTCCTCCTCCTCCTCCTCCTCCTTTCTGCTTTCTCCTCCTCGCCCCCCCCCCCTTCTCTCCTCTCCTCCCCCTCAACCCTCCAGGGCCGAGCGCCTGCCCCTTTCGTCACCGCCACCGCCCCTGATCCTGCCCCCCCCCCAGTGCACCTCATGGGCTTGTTTTCCACCACCACCACCATAAGCTGGAGGGGGAAAGGAGGCGGAGGAGGAGGAGGAGGAGGAGGAGGAGGAGGAGGAGGAGGAGGAGGAGGAGGAGGAGGAGGAGGAGGAGGAGGGAGGAGGAGGAGGAGGAGGAGGAGGAGGAGGGGAGGAGGACCCCCTCCCCCTCCTACCTATGGTGGTGGTGGTGGTGGTGGTGGTGGAAAACACCCCTCCCATGCACCGCTGCTCCGCGAGAGGTGCCAGAGCGGGGAAAACACCATGCTGCACCCGCTCTCCTACGACGTCTGCGAGCATTGCATGGACCTGCGCCCCCCCCCCCCCGGCGTCCCCGCGGCGCCGCGCCCCTGCCGACGGACATTTTCAGGCCCGCGCAGGGCCGCCGACGGCTGCCTCGGCTGTCGTTTGGGAAGCGCGGGCGAGACGAGGAAGAGGAGGAAGAGGAGGAGGAGGAGGAGGAGGAGGAGGAGGAGGAGGAGGAGGAGGATGAGGAGGAGGAGGAGGAGGAGGTATTCGCGGCTCGCGGCAGGGATTCGGATCCTCCTTCTGCCCTACGTTTTCCACCCTCTCCCCCCCTCCTTCCCTCCCTCCCTCTCTCACTCTCTCTCTCTCTCTCGCTCGCCTTCTCTCTCTCTCTCTCTTTTCCCGCCTCTGCCCACTGTGCTTCGCAAGTATTCCAAATGCTCCCCGTCCCACGTCTCCTTTCTCATGGTACAACTCTGCGCAACGCGATCTCCTTTCCTCCTGGTGCTGCCCAGTGCGGGCGCCGCCCCTTCCGCGCAGTGCTGTTTTTTTTCCACGTGGGTGTTGAGGCCATGTTGTTGTATATGATAGGGCTTGGTAGGATTGTTTTTCTGCTTTCGTAAAGGGTGTGCCCGCTGAAGTGTTAGTCGCATTGTAGGATCGGCGGTTTGCTTCCGTTGTTCAGATGGTGCTCTCGCCCCAGTTGGATCGCACTCCTTCCTCGTCGTTGTCGCCCCCCCTTCCCTCCTCCGCATTCCCGCGTTTCTCCTGCTCATCTTGATCCTCCTGCTGCTGCTGCTGCTCCTCCTCCTCCTGCTGGTCCTCCTCCTCCCCCTCCTCCTCCTCCTTTTTCCCCCCAACAGCCCTGTGGCGTTGGGCCCTCGCTTTGAAGCGCATCCCGTCACTGCCTTTACCGGCCGCGTGCCACTTTGACGGCACACTTTGCTTTGCTTTGCTCGCGGGTGATCGCCTGCCAATCACTCCTGCCCGAAGTCGACGACAACGAGCGAAGGGCCCGAAAGGGACCGAAAAGGGGAACGAGGGACGGGCCCAGGAACCCAGACACAGGACGAGCGAAGGGACCCGACCGAAGAAACAAGGGACACCAAACCTCGAGGGCCTCGAGCAGTGCACCATTCAAAAACGTCCAGGGACGGAGACGTCAACACAGGACGCTTAAACAACGTTTAAAGTTGAACACTTCAAACAACTGCTCACCTCCTCCCTACCACTGCATGCCTCCCCCACCCAATCGCTGAGCACAGACAGGTGTGAGGGAAAGACGGGAGGAGGGCTCAAGAAAACAACATTCGAGAGAAGGGGAAAACTCCCATTCACGAATTTATCACAGAGATCGATAGCAAGCGTAGCAGCCATCCAACCACATCCTCCCCCTCATCCTCATCATCATCCCTCCCCCACCCAGCCAGACAAAAGCAGACGGAGGGGGGGGGGAAGAGGAAGCTCTCAGGAGTCCCAGTAGGCACTCTGCCTACAATATCGGCACGCCATTGCCCGCTTCGTGCTGGATGAGCTCCGTAACAGAGCGCACGCACGACAGCGAGGAGCTCGATAAGGAACACCAGGAGATTCGACAGCAGGAGGAAAAACATCCTCTGGAGTAGTGGCCGCGCAGAGGCACGGCTTGTAGATCACCACCTTGTGCATGGAGCCAGCGGCGGACACGCTGAACGTGGACATCGCATTGGCGGTGCCGTCGCCATCCGGAAAGGCATCGCCAGGCGCAACACGATCTGGCTCCGAGGGATATTCGGCCTGAAGCAAAACATCGCCGAGTCGACCAGCACGAACAGCTTCACGCAATTCGGCAGAGAGGTCGCCGCGAACATCCACGAGTCGCCCAGCAGAGGCATGACGAACTGGAGGCAAGCCGTCGTCAAGTCGACCAGCACGAACAGCTTCACGCGATTCGTGAGGAAAGTCACCGGGGACATCCACGACACGCTCAGCAGCATCAGGAACTGGAGGCGAGTCGTCATCACGTGGACCGGCACGAACTGCTTCACGCGGTTCGGGAGGAAGGTCACAATGAACGTCCACGAGTCGCTCGGCGGAAACAGCACCATCAGCGCCATGTTGAACATTCAGATCGCGAGTAGCACCTGCAGGAAGTTGAAGCCGATGATGGGGATCAGTACCATCGCGAGGCTGGTTCTCCTCCTGCAGGTTCGGCGAGACGACGCCACCAGACTGGCCCAGCGTATTGGCGAGCTCCGTCAGGAGGAACTCTGATTTGACACGGTTGATGTGCCGAACGAGGGCGAAGCTGGTGTCGACGTGCTCGAGCCTCCGCCGCAACGACCGCTGGGACTTGTCTTTGAAGACCGTGCGTGCGGCCACACCAAGGCCAGCGAAGTCGCGACCCGTGGTGTCGCAGATCATGCGCAGAGCCTGGCCATGGAGGCGAACAATGAGTTCCTCGGCCATGGAAGCAACCGAAGATCAAAACAAATCGAACCTAATACAAGGCGCGCCGCAGCTTGAGCCAGAATGGCTACGGATGACGGCACACCCCTCCCTCACACGCTTCGTGGCCCCGCAGGGAGCTCCACCAAAGGCCCAGTGGCCTTCGTTGCTACCCCCTGCTTCATGACAGCTTCCCCGCGATGCTCGAAGGCCCCCGGTGGCAGCGCCCGCACGGTGGCTCCTCCGCGCCCCGTGGCCCCACAGGAAGGCTCCGCCGGAGGCCCCAGTGGCAGCGCCCGCATGCAGTGCCGCCCCTCTTTCGGTGCACCGTTCGCACGGTTCGTGGCCGAAGGATTGCAAAAAACGAAGGATTGCGCAAAAACGCAGGATTGCAAAAAAACGAAGGATTGCAAAAAAAGATTGCAAAACAAAGGATTGCAAAAAACGAAGGATTGCAAACAAAAAGGATTGCAAAAAACCGAAGGATTGCAAAACAAACCCTTCGTTTTTTTTGCAATCCTTCGTTCGAGGGAGCCCCACCAATTGCCCCACTGGCAGCACCCGCGTGCGGTTCCGCCGCCAATTTTCGCGTACCCCTTACACGTTTCGTGGCCCCCATCGGGGGCTCCACCGAAGGCCACAGAGGCAGCGCCCCCACGCAGTTCCTCCCCATCTCAGCACACCCCTTACATGCACTGTGGCCCCAGAAGTAGGGAGCTCCACCGAAGGCCCCGGTGACAGCCAGCGCCCGCATTGGGTTCACCCTCCATTTCAGTGCACCCCCTCACACGCTTCGTGGCCCCATAAGGGGTCTTCACCTAAGACCCCAGTGGCAGCGCCTGCATGCGGTTCCAATGGCCATTACGGCACACCCCTCACACGGTTCGTGGCCCCATAGGGAGCCCCACCGAAGGCTTTAGTAGCAGCGCCCGCATGCAGTTCCACCCGATTTTGGCACACCGTTCACACGTTTCTTTACCCCATAGGGAGCTCCACCGAAGTCCCCAGTGGCAGCGCCCTCATGCAGTTCCACCCATACTTCGGTGCACCTCTCATACGCTTCACTGCCCCATTGGGAGCTCCACCGAAGGCCCCACTGGCAGCGCCCGCATGGAGTTGCACCTTCCGTTTCGGCGACCCCCTCACACGTTCACGTTCCGTGGCCGCATAGAGCCCTGCCGTATGGAGACCCACCTAAGGCTCCCGTGGCAGCGCCCGCGTGCGGTCCCACCCGAAACCTGGGCGAGCCTCTCACGCGTTTCGTGGCCCCACGGGAAGCTCCACCGAAGGCCCCGGTGGCCCTCGTTGCTGGCCCCCCTGCTTCATTTCACTCTACTCGCGATGCTCGAAGGCCCCAGTGGCAGCGCCCGCATGGTGGCCTGGCCACATCT